TATAAGAAAAGAAAACCTTGATTTTAATTCTGTAATATTTTATCTAATATGGAATTCTAGGCTTTAGATTGTATATTGATTTGCTTGTCAAGAACTCAAGATTGATTAATTTACTTATTTTTTAATATATTAATTTCCATTTATGAAATATGAGCAAAACAGGAACATGGAGAGTGAATTTAAAGTATTATATATTGTTTAATTTAAAACCCCATAACACTTTTTTTATTGATTTTGATAGTGACATGGAAAGTGGATAATAACCAATTCATCAAGATCAAAAGCAAGTGAATTAGATGATGAAATTGGGTGGAAAAATAATAAGTTGTAGGATTCTAATAACTCAAGTCAAGTGGTGTGTAACTTTTGTAATAAAATTACTATTGGTGGTGTCACTAGAGCTATAAGACATCAAATAGGGATAAAAAAGGAGGTGGCTCCATGTCTTAAATGCCCAACGAAACAATTAGGGAAGAGTTGTGGCCTAATCTACAACAAAAAGCCACAAGCAAAAAATTAGAAAAAGAGATGTTTATGTTTAGTTGTAATACCATTGATCTTGAAGAGGAAGATGAAGAGGAAGAACTTATGCTAAGAAAATCGACTCTATCTATTGGTGGTAAAAGCAAGAAGGCCAATATTGGGCAACACAAAAGCCCCATGGATTTGTACATGTACCAAAAACCCAAGAAAATTCTTCAAAAGTGTAGCAATCAAATATAAAAGATTTTAACAGGGATTTGAGGGCTGAAACAAATCAATACTTTGCTTGGTTTTTCTACCAAAGTGATATCCTTTTCAATGTTGCTCGTTTGGAAAGTTTCAAGCTAATGGTAGAAGCAATTAGATAATATAGAAGAAATCTCAAGCCTCCTAATTACCATAAATTAAGGGTTTCATGCATACATAGGGAGTTGAAGTACACTAAAAAACTAATGGAATGCCATAGGAAACAATAACCAAGATATGAGGTCACTAGTATATCTAATGGATGAACGAATAGTAAGTACAAGAGCATAATCAAATTTTGGGTCAATTCTCATGGTGATACAATTATTGAGGCTTTTGCTTTTGTCAAAACTAGGGAAAGGATGTTTGAGTTAATTGATGGCGTTGCGGAGGAGATTTCTATCATAAATTGAAAAATAGTAGCAATTCAAACTTGGAAAAATGGAAAAAGAAGACGTACCATTAATATATATAGTTAAAACAACTTTTACAATTCTCATGTCTACAATTCAAAAGAAAACGAAGAAATTATGGAAATGGTATGGTTACTAATTTAGTGCGGAATAAAGTCGCGATGAAAAATTGCAGGATACATGGCTTGAAATAAATTGAATTCAAGTCAATAAATTAAATACATTTGCTCAATCAGAAATTCTACAATTAATTAGCTTAGTTAGGATTATACTAACCTGTGAAGTCATCTCATTTTCTTGTGTTCTCTGATTCCCTTTTCTTTGAGCCGGTCTTGGATTGGTATGGCAACTGATGATCATGGAAGGAAAGCGGTAATAACTGAACTTATCTAGAACGGTGGTGATTCAGTGATGGAGGAGGAAGAGGGAAACAATCTAGAGTGACTGGTAAAGGCGATGGAGGAGGTGGTGTTGGTTTGATGAATATTGGAAGCCGAACGAAGAAATTAGCAAGCGCGGGCTATCTAAACTCGAACCTAATCGGATGGTTTATTACGTTAGCCTAAGGGCGGGTTTGGTTTCTAACATTTCTAAGAAAGGGAAACCCGGCGGGCTGAAAACCCTGTACAAAAATCAAGATAGGCCATAATTGATTATAACAAATTACAATGGAATGGTCATGACTATAATTGATTTTGTTATGTCTATTAAAATAGTTAAATTTTTTAAAATTTATTTATTAAAAATAATTGGAAATTAATAAAATAATTAATATTCATTATTTAATAAATTAAAATTAATTTATAAATTGATATTTTTATATGTCATAGCAAATTGTTTCAAAAAATAGTTATAAACTAATAAAATTACAAATAAAATTAATAACTTTAACAAAAATAATTTTAATCTAAAACAAAAATAATGGTAACTTTAACCTTAGCCAATTTATAATTAACTATAATTGATTAAATAGAGCACTATCTTACATTATAATTGGCTATGTTGCACGCACTAAAAAAACTTGAGAAGAATCACATTCCCAAACACTTGACACTTTTTACTCTTTACAACTAGGGATGGAAATTTTCTTTGAGATTCGTGGAGCTTCGCGAGAATCTCTGTTGTAGGGATGGAGAATTTAAAAATATTCTTTCCCGTGAGACAGAAATGAAGGCATTTTTTTTGGGGAGGGAATTCCATCTACCACGTGAGGAGCCTGGGATACATATCTAATAAAAAAATATAAATTTATTTATATAACTTTTTTTGTAAATATATTATCAATTAATTTTTACTCATCCAATCCAATTGACTAACCCAAATACCAACCCAAACTAAATTGCCTAGCCCAATTCCTTTTCTAGTCTTCCCAAACCCAATTCAATAAGGCAATTCACCAATTGTAAATTGCAATTGCAAGTTTGCAGACACAATGGTAGCTCATATAGTAATAACCCTAACTAACCATCATATTCCTCCTCTACTCCTCATCTCCTCAAGATCTCAATGGTGGCCGCTTGCCTCCACTTGCCTTCAGCTCCAAGGCTCTAACTCTAGGTCCTTTTCACCTCATGGTGTACCTACTCCATTCCTCACTTTTTAAGTCTTCAGTCATCTCCTACTGTCTACTATAGTCTGCATCTCTTTTGACTCTAACAAGGTAATATGTTCTAAATTCACTCAAAGTATAAGGATGGGAAGAGGGAGAAGGAAAAAGAGGTAGAGGAAAGGAGTGAGAAAACAAAGTAGAACTACAGGAGGTATATAGTCTAAGGTGTTAATTCTTTTGTTTTTAGAGAAAATCACAATGTACGCAGCTCTATTTATGTGGAATCTGATAGTTTAGTCTAATTTCATTTCACTTGATGCAATTTTTTGGGGAAACAAATGGATTATTATGCTCTTTTTGATGGTTAGTGTGCTTCTAATCTTTGAAAATGAATTGATGTCAAATGCAGAGTTGTTTACCTTGACTTATGGTGCAATTATGCGTCAATTGCTTACGGATCTAGAGGAGGTCAAGGAAGTTAACAAATAGCTTGATTAGATGTATACTTCAAAATCCATGCTCTTGGTTTTTGAGTTTTATTCAGTCATTGGTGGTGTTTGTTGTGCAATTCAATTCTTTTGGAGTTTTGAAGGTTGTTCTTTTAATGATGTAGTGATATCTCTTAAAAATTGTTGTGAATCGAAATTACTTATGGAGATATAAAATTAGCTTTGTATTTTTTCCTTTTTATTATATATAATTACATTCAAATAACTTGGAGTATTTGTTACAGAAAATTATTTCCTCAACTTGAAGTTGTTGATCAAGCTTAAGTTATTACTACAAAGTTACCTTTGCTTTGCTGGATTGAATGGACATGTATGCATTTGCTACTTGCTAGATTGTTTTATGCATTTGTTTGTTTTAAATTTTTTCTCTTTTATGCTTTTTTCTTTCTTATAAACTTACTGTTAAACGTGTATGATAATTTATGCTTTTTTTTTTCTTATGAACTTGTTGCTGAATTTGCTAGACATGTATATTTGCTATTACTGGACATTACCTTGTTAGATTGTATATGTCATATATTTACTTATTTGAGTTTTTTTGAAATTTTTATTTTTTAATTTATAAAAAAATAAATTTTAAATTTTATATATTTAATATTTGATGAGGACTCCATATACCCATAAAAATCTATCATTTCCTGTGAGCATGAAGATTAAGCCCATTTTTTATTCCTACAAAAAATCTTCAAAAGAATCGCTGTACTCGCTGCTAATGGAAATGGGGATACAGAGGAGGTCCCGCCCCAGGAGACCCATTGTCATCCCTATTTACTACGGGATGTATTTAGTTTTTACTCAATTACTATACTTCATTAAACTTTGAGCCTGGAAACACTTTTTCCCAAGGCAAGCCAACTCAAAATATATGTGGCTTCCCATGAAATATTTTCCTAGAGAGTATAAAACCAAATGCATCCTAAATCTACGGCCCAAACCCTTATGGATATTATCCACCCGTTTGGGGGTTTTTTTTTTTTTAAAGAGAATGTATAATGAAAAATAATAAAAAAATTATTTTATTGTGATATCATAATAATTAATTTTATTATATATAAATTTATATTTTTATATATTTAATATTTAAATAGAATACTTAATAAAACATAATCTCTCTAATGTATAAAGCTTTCTTAAAAATT